CTAGGTGTGATCTGAAGGAAGAGGTCATGGTTATGGAAACACCTCCAAAAAAACCTTGTCGAAAACTGGTCTGCAATCGCCTATACGACATCTTGTGTGACACACCAGATTGCCTTGAGTGTCCTTCCAATCGATTGCACGAGAGCAGAAGTCATCTACGGAATTTGATGTCAGGCCTGTGGTGCTGACTATGGTGGTTGAACAGGGGGTCCATATTGTACTCGAACAAAAGAACATTAGAGCGACCAAGAAAGTCTCGCACTTAAACATCACTCGGAATGCATCGAGTTCTGTGTAATAGTGGTAACCAAGTCACAATTTCATTAGCTATCTTGAAAATAAAAACGGAGTTTACTGTGCGGAAAGCACTTGGGGCGTGTTGGATTGCAGCTAGAGACCAACAGACAAACAGGAAGGAAGAGTGTGTGGCCGTTACACGTGACCTCGCGCCCTTTCTAGACTCTTCTCCAATCACTACTTCTTGCAATTTGAAAAGGTAACCTATATCACGAATATATCGACTTACGGGCTCTGGAGAGGGCGATTCCGCCGAAACGTTAGATGTAAATAATACGTTCTTGATAATCTCAGAGGCTAAATCGGATTACAACGAATTCGTCTGGATCTTCTTTCACTTGTATTTCGTGTGACTTCCAGCCCATCTGATCGAGCTCCTATTTCAAACCTGGTATTCGCCTCGTCGCTTGCGTGAGCGCCGTTTTGACGATTCTTGATGGAGGTAATGCCACACTGAAAGGTGTACCTTTTCCTATATGACCTCGTTCTTCGTGTTTTGTCTCTTTTATTCTTCCCTACCGGGTGTTCATGAATACTAGCTATGCCCGGCCTCCGTTTTCAGAATAGTCCTGTTCAGCGACCGTGTATTGATCCATCTCCGTCGACGCCACCTTATGAGTTTGAAAAAAGACGTGGCGCTACTCATTCACGATCAGACGCCACTACAGCATCTGCGTACTGCCAAGGTAACCCTTCTTGAAGATCGTAAATATGCTCACTCTGTGCTATACCGTAAAAGAGAGCTGGTTAAAGAGATTTCATCACTTGCGAGTGTAAAAGCAGAACTCAAGGTTGCAATGGAGAAATCACGCTTTGCTGATTTATAGCAATCCTGTGGTGTCTCACAGCCTGTTTCTGGATTTCAGAACTCTTCATCTCTACCTCCCCACGCCATGGAAGAGAAGCGCTCTGTAGTATTCATAGGTGCACCTGAGCGCTCTGCTCCGCTACCTAGTGGTAGGTTGATTGCTGATATTCACTTTTATAGAGCATGTTTTTGATTTTCTTGATATTGAGTGACCTCCACTATCATTTTTTTTGTATGGGGAGTATTAATGCTTTTTTTCCCAGGCTCGTCAGAGTTATTTTCTTTTCTTCGTTCTATGTTAATCGAAAGTCACGTCAAGCCACCCGATTCAAGAATTTTTCTACTCCTATTTGTCCGCAAGACAATGTTTCTCATAATTGCAACTTTCCTGAAATGATCACTGTTTCTCACTTGTGCATTGATTCTGCCGCAGCTCATATGAATAAATCTGGCGCGTCTAAGTTGTAAACGCCCGTCTGGCCCGCGATCGCCTACTAAACTGTTTATCCGAATGGTGGTAAAAGCTTTCAACCTTTGCCCGCAGTATGCTGTATTTGCATGCGACCGCGTTTCTTGAAAAAAAGAGAATATGGTGCTATCAATGCCAAGGAGACCCTTTCTGCGGTCATTGTCCTCCGTGAGTGCTGCTCGGAGGCATATGAAATTTTCTGTCTAGTTATCTTGTCAAGGGATATTTATATTGGTGGACATTGTATACGGGGCACCACCTGATGCTGTTGCTTTCGAATCACTCTTTGATCGCTCTTATTGTTAGCGGCCTCATCTTTATTAGTCGTTTTTGCACTACTACTGAGTATTTCAAGCTTCCTAATAGTGAATGGACTGATCGATCACAAGCAATCATTGCTCCAGTATATCCGACCCGCCTATTAATCTTGCTTACTCAGCTTATCAAAAAAGCCACTTCTGACTCCGTCCAAACCAACAAGAGCGATTCGATTCACAGCTTAGCAGTCTTTGCTCCTTCAGGTACCAGTTACTGTAATAGTCTCGTTTTCAATTCGAATCTCTTGGCGGATAAAGAGTTACTCATTGGGAAAAGATGCTAAAAGTAAGCGAACTATAGTATGAGGGACAGAACGACATTTTCTTTTGATTATTGCATCACCGGTCACCAGTGTCCCAGTCATTTGTCCCAGTCACCTCTATTCCTTGAGCCCAATTATCTTTGCCGCCGGAAGGAGGAGGAGCAGTGGCAAGTGGCGCACTACCACGCACACATGGTTACTGTGTTGAAATCCCATATCGACATCCGCCCCGACCAACGAAACCTCCCATCCATCCGGAGTCGAATGATAGGTACCGGGTTTGTGAACATAAAAGCATTATGTTTGACATCGATCGGCTACCTTCAGATGTATGTATAATAAGCCAATACGCTTTACAGTCTCGATTAGGATTCTAAATGGTGGTCGATAGCGGGGCAGCGTCCTTTAGACGAGATCGATCGACTCCCGAAGACTTTAACCTCTATCCTTATCTTCATGCCATACTTCCGAAGACTATCGTAAGAGAGTCATGTCTTGGGTAGCGTTCGAAATGAATGACACTCCGGAGCACAGGAGGATATATGAAGGATCAGCGAAACTTTTGAACAAAAACTCTGAATACAACAACTCTGTCGAGAAGAAGTTATTGGAATGCGTGCCAAAGTGATTTTTTCGAACTTCTCACACCTGGGCTTAATCTTAAACCGAAATCTGGCTGTCTAAAGAGCCGTGGTGGTGGCCTGCTCACTGATGTTTCTGATAGAGCTGAGATTCTTGCTATTAATACTTTCAGAAAAACCTCTGTCCTGATCCTCTTTAAGGATTATCTGGTCATTCTGGTCTCTGAATGATCACAGTAGTGCCTGACTCGTCGTGTGATTTCACTCAGAAAACACCTTTTCTCTGCTAAAACGTTGACCATCCTCTCATTCCTCAAAATCAGATGATACAGTCGCGCTCAAAAGTATTCGACGGAATGCTTCCTCAGTTGTACTTTTCAGTCGTATTTTCTTTCCTACTGTATCTAATCATGCGGAATTTCAATATGTGTTGCATGGAAGTGTTGTGATATTCACCACTATCAACGTGCATTCTGATCATGTTCTAGACATCCCAAAGAGCTTGAACTCGAAATCAACTGAAAATACATTCATGGTTCCTTCTAGAAGTTCCTTCTTTCTTGCCATGTTTCGAGTGCATGAGCGATAATGCCTAACACAGTAGAGAAGAATAACGCACATAAGGTGCGAATAACTGCAGACGTCACTATCTTTGCTTAAGCGAAGTCTGCAGCCGCTAAAAATACCCTGCTCCCAGCTATGTGGATATTGCTACTTTGCCGTCAAACAGGGTTGGATGGTGTGAAATATGTTTCAGTTGAACATCTCAAAATTACTTGCGAATTGCTCCACTAAGAAAAAAGTTATAAACGAAAAAGTGTGAAAGCCTTTGACCAAATACTTTTCAGCGCTAGTGTATATCTCTGCTGCTCACTGAAGGTGTTGCGCACATCATATCTAGCCCACTAGCACTTTTCAACCTGTTTCATAATAACAGAAGTCCATTTGAGACAAAGTTCAGCTAATGCATGAGAGCAGAAGTCCTTTCGAGGAGCACAGCTTATGTAACACCAGTACTAAAAAAACCGATTTACGATATTCCTGACAATCATCTCCCTTCAACATCACCTCTACCTTTGCTCAAGCTCTCGAGAAAGATTTGAAGGGAGGATTGTGAAATATTTCGACGAGCACACATTAATTTATTCGTTGCAACACGGCTTTCAAAAAGTGGTGAGCACACAGTCACTGCTACTCAATCGCGCAACGACTGGATACCTCCCTAGATTGTGGAGCGCTTGGGGATATTGTGCATACGGATTTCTCAAAAGTATTCGATAGGGTCGATCACTCAAAGTCACTCATTACTCTAGCTGGCGAGAGTTTATCTATCGAAATCCTGCATTTTCATTTGACCGCACTTCAGAGGTAAGAGGATGTGTTTTCTACTATTTTCCTCCGGCTTCCAGCGAGGATCCCAGAGGAGCAGTTCTATCTCCCACTTTACTGGTAACCTGCCTCTTCTCCTAGCAGACTGCGGTGTCAATTACTGTGCGTTTGTGAAAGATGTCAAGATGTATTGTGCAATAACGTCAAATTATTATTGTCAGAGCCCTTAAAGTTACATTGAGCAGCAGCTGACCCGAAAAGTGGGGCTTTCCCTTATTGAGTAGGAAAAAACAACCTTGTCACACCTTGGACCAAAAAACATAATAATATCATAATATCGATGGCACTACTACAGAAAGCTGGTCATCAACGGACATGCGCCTTAGGGGATCCAATTAGGCATTTTCTCCTCCCCAGTGCTAGACACAACCCGAGGTTTCATTTCTTTACAATCAACGCTGGGCAGATTGCTCAAATTGAAAAGAGTTGAACCCTCATGCCTTAGTGTTGAACCGTTCGAAATCAGTTCAGACACGTTTTTGAATTTTATCTCACAATTCTTTATAATCTTCCACCCACTACATCACTTGTCAGATGGTGCCTTAGTTTTGATTTTCGAAGGATATGCTCTCGCCTTATGGTTCTACCTCACGTGAGGATAGTCTCATGTTATTGTCTATATAGTAACAGATTGGACAGAGTTTCACAAACCAAAGTACGTAATAGAATAGAAGTAGTATAGTGTGATTTAGACCCCCCCCCCCCCCCCCCCCTCGAGCGTTAGAACGTGTAAGATGTAGTCAAGTTCAGAACCGTTTGAAGTACCACCGCCACGTCGATGTATTTTGGGAAACCTCTCATTCGAAGAAGTGCTTTGTACATAAAACTCTTAACCATTTAGGGTCTCTTAACGCATCAAACCTTTTTTCACCTCGCTCAGTGGTGAAATACAACAAACGTCTCGTGACAGTGATCATTTACGTAGATGAAGGAATAAATTGCAATAAAATTCACTGTTCGTGGAAAGCTCACCAAGAAGAAAACCGTTAATGTGACCAATATGCTGATGGAGAATGTTATTTTGTGATCCGATAAATAGAAAACAAAAGTTGTAAGGATGGAGATGAGGAAGCATGGAATTATGAGGTTGCATGTGAAAAATAGCGTTTTTCTCCTGCAAAAACATCTCAGACAATATTGGTAAGATAGGTCCCAAACATGGTGGATGAAACGAAAACACACCTCAAGCCAAAGTAATATGTTATGTCGACGTATTTTTCTGGGCCACAGCAAGATGCATACAATACAGAATGTCTCTGAGAACTAAGTGCCAGCAAGTCCCATTCTGCCGACCTGAAATGAGATACGTATTCCATCCATCCTGTGTAAAATACTCAGTCTTAGAATTATCATGTTTTCAAGAACCTTCATTCCACTATCCGCAAAGTCTGTCGAGCGTCCCAGCTCAATCTATATACTACATATATATATATATACCTATATATTCACTATCGTATCTGACGGCCTGCTCAAGCTGGACTCTTTTCATTTTCGTGTTAGGTTGACCTGTTGCACGCATCCTTCTCGAATTGTGACGCTTTGGTACAAGAGCAGAGTTATGGATTTCTTAGTGAATACACACATGCACACACGTTCATACATCACATCAAAACACATCACTTGTATACGTATTAATGTGTAGCATTCGATTGAGGGAATCAAGCGGTGTGCAACGCAAATGTGCAAATCGATAAATAAATGTAAGGTGATCAGTCCACTTGGATTCGTACTAATATTGAGGACCACACGCAGGGGAAGCGCTTGTCTTGGAGCATGCCGGTGCAAGTGCTGACGAACAGATACTTATACATAGATGAACGACGGCATCGTTCATCGACTCCCCGGACTATCTTCTCAGTTTACAAAGAAATAACCTTTCTAACCCAAGAGTTTGCCTAGAAATCAAGATTTCTCATGATGAAGCCCTCACATGATTTTAAGTATCATCTTACAGAGCTCGGAGATATGGACTCGATTTCAGGTAGATGTGAAAGCCTTGGAACACGAATTTACATGTACCGTAGTTTCTCTATGAGAATTTCTGCTCTAGAGTATTATCACAATCTATGGGACAATCTAAGAATTACAACCTGTAATATTCAGGTAGTCCACTAGCGCTTTCCTATAAATTATGTCGCAAACATCAAGAGACGAGCTCCGAGCAATCGCATTAAACGAATCTCGACGCGGTTTCTTTGTATGTTTCGCTTCCAACTTCGACGCCGCATTCGAAAAGGACCTCGCTAGTCATGCCACCGTTAGTCGTTCATGTGCCTGCTTTCATAGTGGAGATACGACGCTCGAGCGACGATTCTCGTCAGGAGGATCAACGGCTTCCAGTGCTGACTGACTCCTCAACGAAATGAAGAAGAGATCAGAGAATCAAGGGCGCTTCTCGGGAGCGATATTTCGCTTTTCGAAGCGATGTTCTCAGATACCTAATGCAGCCCAAGAGAAATCTTGTGCGATTGTTCTGCACTAAACGCTGCAGCCATTCCAAAAGAAAGAGATCTGCTCGTGCAGCCCAAGCTTGAACAAATGTCGAGGAATATTTTGGATCACGCCTTAAAGACTCGAAGAAAACGACATATAAAACTCATTACCTCAAGGACACATAGCCTTGGCTGATATCTACAGCAGTCAGCACCACGAACTCAGTCATGCTGTCGAGGAAAGCAGTTCACGTCGTCCATGTCGAAAAAGTAATACAGTTAAGCTCACAGGAGTTTGATTAGAATACATTTTCCTACTCTCCTATTCTCCTGATTTTGCCCTTTCTGACAATCACATTTTTAAGCACTTCAAGCGCTTGTATCAGTACACATTCCTACATTTGACTATTTGATGCCCTCAAAGAGCCTGTAGTCAACTCCTTTGAATCTTAGTTCTCCTTTCTTCCTTAAAGAGAAAATAACTATTCTTCTTCTATGCATAGGAAGAAAAGAAAAAATCAAAAAAATTATTCGTGTTTCCCGCACAAATTTGGAATTTCCAGAGGGGGGTAAATTTTACATCATTTTATATTTTATTTTATATATATTTATATATATATATGTCTGCTTTTTCGTGTTCTGAAGCTTTTAACTAAATTAAGGCAGCACTTACAATGGAGGTACCTTATTCAAGGGCGATAATGGAAGTAGTTGTACGAAATGTACGAAATAGTGCGTTAATGGCGAAAAAAGTAGGAAACTGGCGGTTCTCGAATACATCACGCCTTGAAAACAGCAGATTTAATGAAATGTGCAATAGGGCATTGCGTTAGCTGCGATACGCAAAAAGAAAGATACTGTCATTCACTGCCGTTATAGGCCGGAATTGCATGTAAATAAAATTTTGTGCTGCTGCAATCTCCACATTATTCGTTATCACTATTCTTGATAATATTCTCAAATAGTAATAACATTGTCGTTATTGTAAATTCTTGTTGGTAGGTACTACAGAGTGTCCCGAAATTATGGGCGCCGCAATTCAAAAACTTCCAAGGTGGAAGTCATAAGTACTCGCCTGGAACTATCTTCTGAGCTAACTAGCTCTAAATTCCCTTTCCTACCCTTCCTACATTAAAGCAGTGAAGATGAATGATAGTCACCACCACCGCCGATGTTTGCTTTACTACTACAACCTGGGCATCTCCAGACGTCAGGCCACGACCAGGATGCGTCAGCAGTTTGGTGACAACAACCCTTCTAAGAACTGGATGTCGGAACGGTGGACTCGCTTCAATGGAAACTATGGCATCGAAGATATGCCGAGGTCCGGCCGCCTAGTCGCCGTCGATCGACAAGGCTTTCTGGATGCCCTGGACGATGAGCCCACATCGTACTTGTGCAACTTAAGCAAGTCACACAGGTGCCCCGTTCCACCATCCACAAAGTCCTTATTGCATCTGGCAAGGTGTCGAAAAGCGTCGAGTTGCTCCTCACGACCTCACGCCAGCACAGGCAAGGAAGCAGGTTGAGGTGTGATCCGACAACCTCGGACATTTGCCAAAATGGATGTGGGTCTACTACTGTAATTCTACCAACAAACCAGTCTGGGTGGATTACGATGCGCCCCCGCCAAGCCGTGCAAAGAAAAATATGCATAGGAAGAAGCGCCTTCTGTCATTCTGGTTCTCTCGCCACGGTGTCGTCCACAACAGCATCCTACCCAGCAATGCCGCACTGACGGCAGAGACCCTCTCTAAAAAACTGCAGGAGGTCAAGGTGAAAGCTGTCGCCTTGACCTAGAAACTTGCAAATTCGTGGTTGCTCTGAGGCAACGCGCCCCCCCACAGAACGAAAGATACTCAGGCCGTCCTGGACAGGCTGGGCATCAAGTCGGTCACGTATCCAGCGTATAGCCCGAACAGAGTCCATGCGATTACCGCATCTTCCGGTCCATGCAAAATATCTTAGACGGAAAAGTGCTTAAGAACGAGCGCGACACCTCGAGGACGTGATCGAGGACTGGGCCGAGTCGCGGCCGGCCGGCTTCTGGGAAGATGGAGTTGTCTCTCCACCCGATCGTTGGCGAAAGGTGCGAAATTTCATGTGATTCCTATAATATCCGTTATGAAGGCTATCAAACATTGTATGGTATAAAAATCAGTGTTTTTAGAGTTAGGACTACTAGAATGATCCTTTGCGAATCGATGGTGATCCTGAGCAATCCATCGAAAAAGGCGGTAAAGGAGCAGGATTTTGCGAGGATGTCAGTGGGCTGGATTGTCGAGCAGAGGCTTTACTGCCGTTTCTATCGTATGCAGCAATGTCAATTCATTCCCGATGCTAGCAGACAGGGAGGGGCAAAAAAGCGGAAAGTTGTTAACTCACTCGAAGTGGACAAAGCGACCTTTCGCCGTTCTCTCTGGCCGAAGAATTTTTACAGACAAACCTTTCCTCTACAAATAAAATGATCACGTTCTGGCTATATATCTCAAACGTACAATCTCTCACAAGAAGTTGTTCCAAAAACGAGAAAATGATATCGTTCGAAGGAGTCATTGGAGAAGGTAAGTCGCTCATGATTTCGTCGGCGCTGGTGTGAGGATTAATAAAGAGCGGTAGCGAATGGCATACTGATGGGCGTAATGAAGCACTTATACGATTGCTTCCTCCAATAGCTCGTAGACTTTCCAGCAGGATGGCACTCATCCCACAGAGCCAGACTCGCCCGGGAGCAGTGTCGACGCTAACCATTCAACTCCATTAGCAAAAATTGACGGCCATGCTGGTCCCTGGAGAGGAGAGGGCCTGTCGAGATCTCTGTCGAAAAGAGATTTGAGCCTTCTATCGGTGCTAATGGGAGACACTGGTGTGATGTTTCCCATTTGCACCGATAAAAGGCTCAATTCAATTGATTTTAGCATAATGTAGCACATAGTGGCAGCAAACCTGAATACAAGTTCCATTGTCATTCTCAGCTGAGAAGCTTCCAATGCAGTGCCATAAATTGGCGCCCATATTTTCACCCTGTATATCGCGATACTTCCTGATTAACGCTGTTAATTTCCAACGTAGATGCTTCACTGTGAAGAGGATGAGGAAAACAATATAACACGGCCACTTTTGAGTACCTACATTCAGCGAATTTTTTTTATAGCCCTATTTACGCTCTATCCAGGCAATTTTTCAACCTGAGAGCGTTCCATGAATTTTCATTGTGATAATAAGATAGATAGCGAAAATTTCCGTGCACATGAATGCACCATTAAAGGTAACGAAACTTCTCCCCTATCACGGCATTCTCCCTCGCGGCACGCGGCAAATGTCACTGCAATTACCGTATTCACCCCGCCTCCCGCCAATCGATAGGACGCGATATTTTCAGTTGATTGCCTTGTTTTTTTATTGAATTTGATCGTTTTTTCTTCTATTTCTTTTTCGTTTTCATGTTTATTAGACTTGATTAATCAAAATGACTCCACCTATGTAAGCAGCGATCAAGCCTGCATTGAAATTGAAGAAAGCGGTCAGCCAATTCGAATAATTAAAGGACTCCCTACCTCACAAATTGCGCGCTCCAATCTTCCATCGCAATCCTGCGATACGCGGCGGGTGCGGCGGGTGCGACGCCGTGTCAAGGGAGAATAAAAAAGAGAAATTAAAAAGTTTTGTAAGTATTTGTTTATTAATTAAATTAAGTGATTCGTT